GGTCCGTACTCTCCATCTCCCCAATCAGTGTGCCCAGCCTCGTGGTCTCCTCAAAAAGCCTCTGGAGGATTTATTCATGGGCTTTTGTTATCTCTGTGTCCAGCTGCTCCAGCTGGGCCAGAAGAGAAGACTCCTGCTTCTCCAGAAACTCGTGCATCTTCCTGTATGTCCTCACAATCTCCTGCTTTTCAGCTTTTGTCCTCTCCTGCCAAGGAGAAGCCAAGCAGGGAAAGGGCAGCAGAGAGCAGGAGAAGAGAATCAAGGGTCAAGAGTGGGCCATGCCTCAGTGGGAGCCACCAAGAAGAAGCATTTGGGGAAGATACAAACCCCCTCTCCCTTCCCCACAGCCCTTGAGCATCACCCAAACCTCAGGGGGAGGAGGAGGAGGAGGAGATGTTCCTCCTTTCTTCCCACACCGTCTGCCCAGGAAAAATGATGGGCACCTACAGTGTGGTCCTTGAGCCTGTCTTGTCTGTCCTTCATGGAAGATTGAAGTGCCTCTTGCTCTGATTTCAGAAGGTGCAGTTGGGTCTCCGTTTGTTTCTGAGAGGAAGGAAAGAAGTCCTCTGTGGAATGGCATTGTGGTCTGGCAGCCTCAGCAGAAGCACCGGGGAACTCTTGGTGGCTCTTGGGGTAAGTGTTGGCAGAGTTTTGGGACGCCCATGACTGTTTCAAGGTGATTTACCTCCCCTTTTTCCTTTTTTTTTTTTTTTCTTTTTCTCTTTGGAGGTAGGTCAAGGCAGTTTCAGGGATCTGTGGGGTGGGAAAAGGGCTGAGGATCTCTCCCTCTCCTTTCCTATCGATCTTCAGCAGAGCTGACCCTAACTAGGGACTCATGATCATCTTCACCTATCAACAACACCAAGAGCTTCTGGACCTTTGTGCCTCAACACACCCATAACCCCCTCACCTTGTACTCCTGGGCAGCTTCACCCATGGGAACCACAGAATGGTCACGGTGCATCTTGGACTTGTCACACACGAGGCAGATGAGCCTTTTATCATCTTGGCAGAAGAGCTTCAGGGGTTCCTGGTGCTCCTCACAGACGTTCTCCTCTCCTTCCACCTCTCTGACTGGTTGCAGGTTCAATCTCTTGGCTGCTTCAATAACGTTGGACAACTCCCAGTTGGGGCGGAGGCTCTTCTGGTCCCCCGTCTCCCTGCACTGGGGGCAGGAGAAGTTGGTGGTCAGTCCTTCCCAGGTTTCAGTGATGCACGACCGGCAAAAGCTGTGCCCGCAGTGGATGGATACGGGGTCTTGGAATATTCCCAGGCAGATGGAGCAGCAGGATTCATCCTGGAGCATTTCCAGAGGCGTCCTGGCTGCCATGAAGAGCCACCTTCGGAGCTTCAGTCTCCAAGTTTGTTTCGATTTTGAAGAAAGAGGAAGGAGAGAGATTTCCTGGTTCTACACCATTGGTTACTCTGAGACCCAGCCCCTTCCCAGCAGGGCTTCAGGCCATACATTAACTTAGATTGCTCTGGCCAGAAGAGAAGACTCCTGCTTCTCCAGAAACTCGTGCATCTTCCTGTATGTCCTCACAATCTCCTGCTTTTCAGCTTTTGTCCTCTCCTGCCAAGGAGAAGCCAAGCAGGGAAAGGGCAGCAGAGAGCAGGAGAAGAGCATCAAGGGTCAAGGGTGGGCTGTGCCTCAGTGGGAGCCACCAAGAAGAGGCATTTGGGGAAGATACAAACCCCTTCTCCCTTCCCCACAGCCCTTGAGCATCACCCAAACCTCAGGGGGAGGAGGAGGAGGAGGAGATGTTCCTCCTTTCTTCCCACACCGTCTGCCCAGGAAAACTGATGGGCACCTACAGTGTGGTCCTTGAGTCTGTCTTGTCTGTCCTTCATGGAAGATTGAAGTGCCTCTTGCTCTGATTTCAGAAGGTGCAGTTGGGTCTCCGTTTGTTTCTGAGAGGAAGGAAAGAAGTCCTCTGTGGAATGGCATTGTGGTCTGGCAGCCTCAGCAGAAGCACCGGGGAACTCTTGGTGGCTCTTGGGGTAAGTGTTGGCAGAGTTTTGGGACGCCCATGACTGTTTCAAGGTGATTTACCTCCCCTTTTTCCTTTTTTTTTTTTTTTCTTTTTCTCTTTGGAGGTAGGTCAAGGCAGTTTCAGGGATCTGTGGGGTGGGAAAAGGGCTGAGGATCTCTCCCTCTCCTTTCCTATCGATCTTCAGCAGAGCTGACCCTAACTAGGGACTCATGATCATCTTCACCTATCAACAACACCAAGAGCTTCTGGACCTTTGTGCCTCAACACACCCATAACCCCCTCACCTTGTACTCCTGGGCAGCTTCACCCATGGGAACCACAGAATGGTCACGGTGCATCTTGGACTTGTCACACACGAGGCAGATGAGCCTTTTATCATCTTGGCAGAAGAGCTTCAGGGGTTCCTGGTGCTCCTCACAGACGTTCTCCTCTCCTTCCACCTCTCTGACTGGTTGCAGGTTCAATCTCTTGGCTGCTTCAATAACGTTGGACAACTCCCAGTTGGGGCGGAGGCTCTTCTGGTCCCCCGTCTCCCTGCACTGGGGGCAGGAGAAGTTGGTGGTCAGTCCTTCCCAGGTTTCAGTGATGCACGACCGGCAAAAGCTGTGCCCGCAGTGGATGGATACGGGGTCTTGGAATATTCCCAGGCAGATGGAGCAGCAGGATTCATCCTGGAGCATTTCCAGAGGCGTCCTGGCTGCCATGAAGAGCCACCTTCGGAGCTTCAGTCTCCAAGTTTGTTTCGATTTTGAAGAAAGAGGAAGGAGAGAGATTTCCTGGTTCTACACCATTGGTTACTCTGAGACCCAGCCCCTTCCCAGCAGGGCTTCAGACAATAGAGTCATTTATATTGCTCTGGGATGTAGCAGTTGGACAGCTGAGGAGGAAGGGAATTGGAGACGCCCATCTCATTTTAACTCTTTCCTGGAGGCGCTGGGATTTCTCAGTCTCCAAAGCCACTTCCAATCCATGGAGTCCGGTGGCATTTGGTGACTCAAGAGCAGCTGGAAGAGGAGTTTCAGGCCCTGGTGGCACCTCAGAGAAGTTGTGGTGCAGCTGGGGGTGGGAGACAAGCAGTGGCTGAAACTGCCTCTGACATGTGAGGGGGGACAGGACGTGGCCAGGGCTTGGGGAGAACCTCATCCCCTTTCAGTAGGGGCTCTGTAGGGCTGTTTGGGAGGACTCCAGCCTCTCTTGGGTCACCTGAAGGGTTCAAATGTGCAGAGCAGGGCCTTCATGTCTGTCAGAAGCAATTTCTGCCGCTCCTGTCCTCATGGAGATCAGCTTTGCCTTTGGGCAAGGGCGTGGGACTGGATGGTCTGTAAGGTCCCTTCCAACCCAAAACCTCCTGTGATATCTACCCCATATGGGGTTGCTCCCCTCCAGCACCACAGGTGAGGCCAATATCTGGGTATGGGGACCAGTTTGAGGCTTTCCAGTATGATGGGTGGGGCAAAGAGGGTGAGGAGACCAAACTCAAGCCCAGGATTGACGGGGAAAGACTACAGTGATGCAGCCTGGAAAGAAGGAGGATCAAAACGCTGCCAGAGCCCAAGGGGATTAGAGAGAGGGCAGAGCCCATTATCAGATCCCCTCCAGTGCCCCTTATTACACCTTGTTAATTGTTTAATTACCGATTGAGACTGGGAAAAGAGGGTTCCTGGGGCCATAGGCATCCTCACCCTGCTCTTATCTGCTTTCCCAGGCAGGGACCTCTGGGACAAGAGGAGGACTTGATGGACCTTCACCTGGACCCCTGGGTCTCATCTCCCTGTGCAGTGGGTTTTGGAGAGGAACAGAAATGACTTTCCCTTGCCTCAGTTCTCTTAAGCGACTTCCAAAGACAACCTCGCAGGAAATACAAATCCCATAATAAAAGGCACACACACAAGGCAGAAACGGTTTAGAATTGAACTTTTATCTCCTCATCAGGGCAAGTTTGCAGCCACCCTGTAACAGCCATGTAGTGATTAAACAGCGATTGAAAGATCAAAATCGAATTGAAGGCACAGAAATGCTCCCAGTTTGCACAGAAGGAAAATAACCTGAACACCGCTCCCCTTTCCTGTCCCTTTGGTGGGATTGGGACAAAACCCAGCCCCTGGTTTCTTTCCTAAGGGTAATTCGAGGGCTTTGGGGGTTGGGATTTTTTTTGTCCTGTGCCTTAGGGAAGAAGTTTGAGTTGAGCACCCCCAATCACCACAAACCATGGGAAGACTCTCTCCCCTTGGAAAGATGCCCGATTAAAAGCAAAGATCTGTTCTTTGCTCTCGGCATCAAAAAACACCACCCTCCCTTTCTCATAGTCCAAGCAGATTCGTATCCTCTTGGGGACTCTGCGTAGTGTCAAGGGGGTGGCATAAGGAGAGGTCAGAGCCTCGTACCCATCATGGGTATGACGCAGAGCCCATACCCCTTCATCAGGCTTCAGGCACAAACCATGGCCTCTTGGAATTGACTCCTTGACCACCCCGAGGGCCCACGAGCCTTCTCTGTGGACCTCCACGTCCCATCGGTGCCACCCCGATGTGAAGCCCCTTGAGCCCAGAACACAGGGATGAAATTTGAACCTCCCCGGGTTGGAGGGCAGATCCTGCTTATAACGCTCCCACCGCACGAGCTTGCAGTCTTCTGAAAGATATAGACTGGCGTTGGCCGTCTCTGGGTCCAGCGTCATCTGTGCTGGAGGTGGAGAGAGAGTCAGGCTCATGGCAGCAGATTTGGGGGGAAACAGGGCTCTTTCTCTCCCTTCCCGTCCCTCTGACCTGATTGGGACCCCTCCAGGCATCCTCTGGTGGTGGGACCAAGATGTTAGAAGAGGGAAAGGAGGCAGCTGAGGACTTCAGATCAATCTTTGGGGGCAACAGAGCCATTTCATATGATGGCTTGTCACACACGAGGCAGATGAGCCTTTTATCATCTTGGCAGAAGAGCTTCAGGGGTTCCTGGTGCTCCTCACAGACGTTCTCCTCTCCTTCCACCTCTCTGACTGGTTGCAGGTTCAATCTCTTGGCTGCTTCAATAACGTTGGACAACTCCCAGTTGGGGCGGAGGCTCTTCTGGTCCCCCGTCTCCCTGCACTGGGGGCAGGAGAAGTTGGTGGTCAGTCCTTCCCAGGTTTCAGTGATGCACGACCGGCAAAAGCTGTGCCCGCAGTGGATGGATACGGGGTCTTGGAATATTCCCAGGCAGATGGAGCAGCAGGATTCATCCTGGAGCATTTCCAGAGGCGTCCTGGCTGCCATGAAGAGCCACCTTCGGAGCTTCAGTCTCCAAGTTTGTTTCGATTTTGAAGAAAGAGGAAGGAGAGAGATTTCCTGGTTCTACACCATTGGTTACTCTGAGACCCAGCCCCTTCCCAGCAGGGCTTCAGACAATAGAGTCATTTATATTGCTCTGGGATGTAGCAGTTGGACAGCTGAGGAGGAAGGGAATTGGAGACGCCCATCTCATTTTAACTCTTTCCTGGAGGCGCTGGGATTTCTCAGTCTCCAAAGCCACTTCCAATCCATGGAGTCCGGTGGCATTTGGTGACTCAAGAGCAGCTGGAAGAGGAGTTTCAGGCCCTGGTGGCACCTCAGAGAAGTTGTGGTGCAGCTGGGGGTGGGAGACAAGCAGTGGCTGAAACTGCCTCTGACATGTGAGGGGGGACAGGACGTGGCCAGGGCTTGGGGAGAACCTCATCCCCTTTCAGTAGGGGCTCTGTAGGGCTGTTTGGGAGGACTCCAGCCTCTCTTGGGTCACCTGAAGGGTTCAAATGTGCAGAGCAGGGCCTTCATGTCTGTCAGAAGCAATTTCTGCCGCTCCTGTCCTCATGGAGATCAGCTTTGCCTTTGGGCAAGGGCGTGGGACTGGATGGTCTGTAAGGTCCCTTCCAACCCAAAACCTCCTGTGATATCTACCCCATATGGGGTTGCTCCCCTCCAGCACCACAGGTGAGGCCAATATCTGGGTATGGGGACCAGTTTGAGGCTTTCCAGTATGATGGGTGGGGCAAAGAGGGTGAGGAGACCAAACTCAAGCCCAGGATTGACGGGGAAAGACTACAGTGATGCAGCCTGGAAAGAAGGAGGATCAAAACGCTGCCAGAGCCCAAGGGGATTAGAGAGAGGGCAGAGCCCATTATCAGATCCCCTCCAGTGCCCCTTATTACACCTTGTTAATTGTTTAATTACCGATTGAGACTGGGAAAAGAGGGTTCCTGGGGCCATAGGCATCCTCACCCTGCTCTTATCTGCTTTCCCAGGCAGGGACCTCTGGGACAAGAGGAGGACTTGATGGACCTTCACCTGGACCCCTGGGTCTCATCTCCCTGTGCAGTGGGTTTTGGAGAGGAACAGAAATGACTTTCCCTTGCCTCAGTTCTCTTAAGCGACTTCCAAAGACAACCTCGCAGGAAATACAAATCCCATAATAAAAGGCACACACACAAGGCAGAAACGGTTTAGAATTGAACTTTTATCTCCTCATCAGGGCAAGTTTGCAGCCACCCTGTAACAGCCATGTAGTGATTAAACAGCGATTGAAAGATCAAAATCGAATTGAAGGCACAGAAATGCTCCCAGTTTGCACAGAAGGAAAATAACCTGAACACCGCTCCCCTTTCCTGTCCCTTTGGTGGGATTGGGACAAAACCCAGCCCCTGGTTTCTTTCCTAAGGGTAATTCGAGGGCTTTGGGGGTTGGGATTTTTTTTGTCCTGTGCCTTAGGGAAGAAGTTTGAGTTGAGCACCCCCAATCACCACAAACCATGGGAAGACTCTCTCCCCTTGGAAAGATGCCCGATTAAAAGCAAAGATCTGTTCTTTGCTCTCGGCATCAAAAAACACCACCCTCCCTTTCTCATAGTCCAAGCAGATTCGTATCCTCTTGGGGACTCTGCGTAGTGTCAAGGGGGTGGCATAAGGAGAGGTCAGAGCCTCGTACCCATCATGGGTATGACGCAGAGCCCATACCCCTTCATCAGGCTTCAGGCACAAACCATGGCCTCTTGGAATTGACTCCTTGACCACCCCGAGGGCCCACGAGCCTTCTCTGTGGACCTCCACGTCCCATCGGTGCCACCCCGATGTGAAGCCCCTTGAGCCCAGAACACAGGGATGAAATTTGAACCTCCCCGGGTTGGAGGGCAGATCCTGCTTATAACGCTCCCACCGCACGAGCTTGCAGTCTTCTGAAAGATATAGACTGGCGTTGGCCGTCTCTGGGTCCAGCGTCATCTGTGCTGGAGGTGGAGAGAGAGTCAGGCTCATGGCAGCAGATTTGGGGGGAAACAGGGCTCTTTCTCTCCCTTCCCGTCCCTCTGACCTGATTGGGACCCCTCCAGGCATCCTCTGGTGGTGGGACCAAGATGTTAGAAGAGGGAAAGGAGGCAGCTGAGGACTTCAGATCAATCTTTGGGGGCAACAGAGCCATTTCATATGATGGCTTAGTTGGGCACACGTTTGGTTCACTTGTCACATGACTCTCAAACTCCAGGAAATCTAGTGGGAAGAGACAAATGGGAGAGGCAGAAAGATCAGTTGGTCTGATTGTGGGTTTCTGCAAAAGTCCTGAGAGTCAGGAACAGGCTTGGGGGAAGGTCGAGAAACTTGAGGAGGCAGAGGAGAAGAGGAGGAGGACAGGCAGGGAACATCAGACCAACGCTCGCTGCTCGTTCTCTGTCTCCTTGTGGGATCTTGAAAGAAATAACCCCTCATTCAGCACCCAGGATGCCTTTCTTTCCCCTGGCTTCACTCCAGCCCTCCCCACCAAGAAGCATGATGACATAGGCCTTTCTGGACCTGCCCTCAGTACCTTGGAATTTCTCCAGAATTTCCTTGATATTTGGGTTCTTCTCGGTGAAACCAGAGAATTTGTTTTCCAGCTCCGGGGAAATCTGGAGTGAGTGGGAGAGCGTTTCCCTCTGGCCCCTGGAAGGGAAGAGGGGATGGATTTACACCTGGTTGGACTTTGCTGCTCCGTGTTTTCTCAGCACTCGCTGCTCCTGCCTCCTGCCAGCCCGGGTCCAAATTCATCATTCATTCAGGAGAGAGAGGCAGAGCCCTCCTTCCAACCCCTCCGGTGGCCTCGGTCAACTCCAAGGGCTGTACTGCAGAAGAGCCAACCCGTCCCCAAGTGCTTTCTCCCCGTGTCCTGCCACAGAGCTACTCTGTGGTGGTGACATGGTGACAGGAGAAGGACCACAGACCTGCTCAAGGTGGTTCCAATGTCCTGGAAGAGAGAGAAGAAGAGACTCAGTGAGATGGAACACCTCCCCTTGGAGTACCGGGGTCCCACTCTAAGGAAGTCCCTCTTGGAGCGGGGGCTGGAGACCAAGCTCAAGGTGGGCCTTCCCAGCCAGTTTGGAAAGCCTGGGCTCTCACCTTCAGGAGCTGCCAGTCTGGCTGCTGGTACGTCCTCTCCATCTCCCCAATCAGTGTGCCCAGCCTCGTTGTCTCCTCCAAAAGCCTCTGGAGGATTTCTTCATGGGCTTTTGTTATCTCTGTGTCCAGCTGCTCCAGCTGGGCCAGAAGAGAAGACTCCTGCTTCTCCAGAAACTCGTGCATCTTCCTGTATGTCCTCACAATCTCCTGCTTTTCAGCTTTTGTCCTCTCCTGCCAAGGAGAAGCCAAGCAGGGAAAGGGCAGCAGAGAGCAGGAGAAGAGCATCAAGGGTCAAGGGTGGGCTGTGCCTCAGTGGGAGCCACCAAGAAGAGGCATTTGGGGAAGATACAAACCCCTTCTCCCTTCCCCACAGCCCTTGAGCATCACCCAAACCTCAGGGGGAGGAGGAGGAGGAGGAGATGTTCCTCCTTTCTTCCCACACCGTCTGCCCAGGAAAAATGATGGGCACCTACAGTGTGGTCCTTGAGCCTGTCTTGTCTGTCCTTCATGGAAGATTGAAGTGCCTCTTGCTCTGATTTCAGAAGGTGCAGTTGGGTCTCCGTTTGTTTCTGAGAGGAAGGAAAGAAGTCCTCTGTGGAATGGCATTGTGGTCTGGCAGCCTCAGCAGAAGCACCGGGGAACTCTTGGTGGCTCTTGGGGTAAGTGTTGGCAGAGTTTTGGGACGCCCATGACTGTTTCAAGGTGATTTACCTCCCCTTTTTCCTTTTTTTTTTTTTTTCTTTTTCTCTTTGGAGGTAGGTCAAGGCAGTTTCAGGGATCTGTGGGGTGGGAAAAGGGCTGAGGATCTCTCCCTCTCCTTTCCTATCGATCTTCAGCAGAGCTGACCCTAACTAGGGACTCATGATCATCTTCACCTATCAACAACACCAAGAGCTTCTGGACCTTTGTGCCTCAACACACCCATAACCCCCTCACCTTGTACTCCTGGGCAGCTTCACCCATGGGAACCACAGAATGGTCACGGTGCATCTTGGACTTGTCACACACGAGGCAGATGAGCCTTTTATCATCTTGGCAGAAGAGCTTCAGGGGTTCCTGGTGCTCCTCACAGACGTTCTCCTCTCCTTCCACCTCTCTGACTGGTTGCAGGTTCAATCTCTTGGCTGCTTCAATAACGTTGGACAACTCCCAGTTGGGGCGGAGGCTCTTCTGGTCCCCCGTCTCCCTGCACTGGGGGCAGGAGAAGTTGGTGGTCAGTCCTTCCCAGGTTTCAGTGATGCACGACCGGCAAAAGCTGTGCCCGCAGTGGATGGATACGGGGTCTTGGAATATTCCCAGGCAGATGGAGCAGCAGGATTCATCCTGGAGCATTTCCAGAGGCGTCCTGGCTGCCATGAAGAGCCACCTTCGGAGCTTCAGTCTCCAAGTTTGTTTCGATTTTGAAGAAAGAGGAAGGAGAGAGATTTCCTGGTTCTACACCATTGGTTACTCTGAGACCCAGCCCCTTCCCAGCAGGGCTTCAGACAATAGAGTCATTTATATTGCTCTGGGATGTAGCAGTTGGACAGCTGAGGAGGAAGGGAATTGGAGACGCCCATCTCATTTTAACTCTTTCCTGGAGGCGCTGGGATTTCTCAGTCTCCAAAGCCACTTCCAATCCATGGAGTCCGGTGGCATTTGGTGACTCAAGAGCAGCTGGAAGAGGAGTTTCAGGCCCTGGTGGCACCTCAGAGAAGTTGTGGTGCAGCTGGGGGTGGGAGACAAGCAGTGGCTGAAACTGCCTCTGACATGTGAGGGGGGACAGGACGTGGCCAGGGCTTGGGGAGAACCTCATCCCCTTTCAGTAGGGGCTCTGTAGGGCTGTTTGGGAGGACTCCAGCCTCTCTTGGGTCACCTGAAGGGTTCAAATGTGCAGAGCAGGGCCTTCATGTCTGTCAGAAGCAATTTCTGCCGCTCCTGTCCTCATGGAGATCAGCTTTGCCTTTGGGCAAGGGCGTGGGACTGGATGGTCTGTAAGGTCCCTTCCAACCCAAAACCTCCTGTGATATCTACCCCATATGGGGTTGCTCCCCTCCAGCACCACAGGTGAGGCCAATATCTGGGTATGGGGACCAGTTTGAGGCTTTCCAGTATGATGGGTGGGGCAAAGAGGGTGAGGAGACCAAACTCAAGCCCAGGATTGACGGGGAAAGACTACAGTGATGCAGCCTGGAAAGAAGGAGGATCAAAACGCTGCCAGAGCCCAAGGGGATTAGAGAGAGGGCAGAGCCCATTATCAGATCCCCTCCAGTGCCCCTTATTACACCTTGTTAATTGTTTAATTACCGATTGAGACTGGGAAAAGAGGGTTCCTGGGGCCATAGGCATCCTCACCCTGCTCTTATCTGCTTTCCCAGGCAGGGACCTCTGGGACAAGAGGAGGACTTGATGGACCTTCACCTGGACCCCTGGGTCTCATCTCCCTGTGCAGTGGGTTTTGGAGAGGAACAGAAATGACTTTCCCTTGCCTCAGTTCTCTTAAGCGACTTCCAAAGACAACCTCGCAGGAAATACAAATCCCATAATAAAAGGCACACACACAAGGCAGAAACGGTTTAGAATTGAACTTTTATCTCCTCATCAGGGCAAGTTTGCAGCCACCCTGTAACAGCCATGTAGTGATTAAACAGCGATTGAAAGATCAAAATCGAATTGAAGGCACAGAAATGCTCCCAGTTTGCACAGAAGGAAAATAACCTGAACACCGCTCCCCTTTCCTGTCCCTTTGGTGGGATTGGGACAAAACCCAGCCCCTGGTTTCTTTCCTAAGGGTAATTCGAGGGCTTTGGGGGTTGGGATTTTTTTTGTCCTGTGCCTTAGGGAAGAAGTTTGAGTTGAGCACCCCCAATCACCACAAACCATGGGAAGACTCTCTCCCCTTGGAAAGATGCCCGATTAAAAGCAAAGATCTGTTCTTTGCTCTCGGCATCAAAAAACACCACCCTCCCTTTCTCATAGTCCAAGCAGATTCGTATCCTCTTGGGGACTCTGCGTAGTGTCAAGGGGGTGGCATAAGGAGAGGTCAGAGCCTCGTACCCATCATGGGTATGACGCAGAGCCCATACCCCTTCATCAGGCTTCAGGCACAAACCATGGCCTCTTGGAATTGACTCCTTGACCACCCCGAGGGCCCACGAGCCTTCTCTGTGGACCTCCACGTCCCATCGGTGCCACCCCGATGTGAAGCCCCTTGAGCCCAGAACACAGGGATGAAATTTGAACCTCCCCGGGTTGGAGGGCAGATCCTGCTTATAACGCTCCCACCGCACGAGCTTGCAGTCTTCTGAAAGATATAGACTGGCGTTGGCCGTCTCTGGGTCCAGCGTCATCTGTGCTGGAGGTGGAGAGAGAGTCAGGCTCATGGCAGCAGATTTGGGGGGAAACAGGGCTCTTTCTCTCCCTTCCCGTCCCTCTGACCTGATTGGGACCCCTCCAGGCATCCTCTGGTGGTGGGACCAAGATGTTAGAAGAGGGAAAGGAGGCAGCTGAGGACTTCAGATCAATCTTTGGGGGCAACAGAGCCATTTCATATGATGGCTTAGTTGGGCACACGTTTGGTTCACTTGTCACATGACTCTCAAACTCCAGGAAATCTAGTGGGAAGAGACAAATGGGAGAGGCAGAAAGATCAGTTGGTCTGATTGTGGGTTTCTGCAAAAGTCCTGAGAGTCAGGAACAGGCTTGGGGGAAGGTCGAGAAACTTGAGGAGGCAGAGGAGAAGAGGAGGAGGACAGGCAGGGAACATCAGACCAACGCTCGCTGCTCGTTCTCTGTCTCCTTGTGGGATCTTGAAAGAAATAACCCCTCATTCAGCACCCAGGATGCCTTTCTTTCCCCTGGCTTCACTCCAGCCCTCCCCACCAAGAAGCATGATGACATAGGCCTTTCTGGACCTGCCCTCAGTACCTTGGAATTTCTCCAGAATTTCCTTGATATTTGGGTTCTTCTCGGTGAAACCAGAGAATTTGTTTTCCAGCTCCGGGGAAATCTGGAGTGAGTGGGAGAGCGTTTCCCTCTGGCCCCTGGAAGGGAAGAGGGGATGGATTTACACCTGGTTGGACTTTGCTGCTCCGTGTTTTCTCAGCACTCGCTGCTCCTGCCTCCTGCCAGCCCGGGTCCAAATTCATCATTCATTCAGGAGAGAGAGGCAGAGCCCTCCTTCCAACCCCTCCGGTGGCCTCGGTCAACTCCAAGGGCTGTACTGCAGAAGAGCCAACCCGTCCCCAAGTGCTTTCTCCCCGTGTCCTGCCACAGAGCTACTCTGTGGTGGTGACATGGTGACAGGAGAAGGACCACAGACCTGCTCAAGGTGGTTCCAATGTCCTGGAAGAGAGAGAAGAAGAGACTCAGTGAGATGGAACACCTCCCCTTGGAGTACCGGGGTCCCACTCTAAGGAAGTCCCTCTTGGAGCGGGGGCTGGAGACCAAGCTCAAGGTGGGCCTTCCCAGCCAGTTTGGAAAGCCTGGGCTCTCACCTTCAGGAGCTGCCAGTCTGGCTGCTGGTACGTCCTCTCCATCTCCCCAATCAGTGTGCCCAGCCTCGTTGTCTCCTCCAAAAGCCTCTGGAGGATTTCTTCATGGGCTTTTGTTATCTCTGTGTCCAGCTGCTCCAGCTGGGCCAGAAGAGAAGACTCCTGCTTCTCCAGAAACTCGTGCATCTTCCTGTATGTCCTCACAATCTCCTGCTTTTCAGCTTTTGTCCTCTCCTGCCAAGGAGAAGCCAAGCAGGGAAAGGGCAGCAGAGAGCAGGAGAAGAGCATCAAGGGTCAAGGGTGGGCTGTGCCTCAGTGGGAGCCACCAAGAAGAGGCATTTGGGGAAGATACAAACCCCTTCTCCCTTCCCCACAGCCCTTGAGCATCACCCAAACCTCAGGGGGAGGAGGAGGAGGAGGAGATGTTCCTCCTTTCTTCCCACACCGTCTGCCCAGGAAAAATGATGGGCACCTACAGTGTGGTCCTTGAGCCTGTCTTGTCTGTCCTTCATGGAAGATTGAAGTGCCTCTTGCTCTGATTTCAGAAGGTGCAGTTGGGTCTCCGTTTGTTTCTGAGAGGAAGGAAAGAAGTCCTCTGTGGAATGGCATTGTGGTCTGGCAGCCTCAGCAGAAGCACCGGGGAACTCTTGGTGGCTCTTGGGGTAAGTGTTGGCAGAGTTTTGGGACGCCCATGACTGTTTCAAGGTGATTTACCTCCCCTTTTTCCTTTTTTTTTTTTTTTCTTTTTCTCTTTGGAGGTAGGTCAAGGCAGTTTCAGGGATCTGTGGGGTGGGAAAAGGGCTGAGGATCTCTCCCTCTCCTTTCCTATCGATCTTCAGCAGAGCTGACCCTAACTAGGGACTCATGATCATCTTCACCTATCAACAACACCAAGAGCTTCTGGACCTTTGTGCCTCAACACACCCATAACCCCCTCACCTTGTACTCCTGGGCAGCTTCACCCATGGGAACCACAGAATGGTCACGGTGCATCTTGGACTTGTCACACACGAGGCAGATGAGCCTTTTATCATCTTGGCAGAAGAGCTTCAGGGGTTCCTGGTGCTCCTCACAGACGTTCTCCTCTCCTTCCACCTCTCTGACTGGTTGCAGGTTCAATCTCTTGGCTGCTTCAATAACGTTGGACAACTCCCAGTTGGGGCGGAGGCTCTTCTGGTCCCCCGTCTCCCTGCACTGGGGGCAGGAGAAGTTGGTGGTCAGTCCTTCCCAGGTTTCAGTGATGCACGACCGGCAAAAGCTGTGCCCGCAGTGGATGGATACGGGGTCTTGGAATATTCCCAGGCAGATGGAGCAGCAGGATTCATCCTGGAGCATTTCCAGAGGCGTCCTGGCTGCCATGAAGAGCCACCTTCGGAGCTTCAGTCTCCAAGTTTGTTTCGATTTTGAAGAAAGAGGAAGGAGAGAGATTTCCTGGTTCTACACCATTGGTTACTCTGAGACCCAGCCCCTTCCCAGCAGGGCTTCAGACAATAGAGTCATTTATATTGCTCTGGGATGTAGCAGTTGGACAGCTGAGGAGGAAGGGAATTGGAGACGCCCATCTCATTTTAACTCTTTCCTGGAGGCGCTGGGATTTCTCAGTCTCCAAAGCCACTTCCAATCCATGGAGTCCGGTGGCATTTGGTGACTCAAGAGCAGCTGGAAGAGGAGTTTCAGGCCCTGGTGGCACCTCAGAGAAGTTGTGGTGCAGCTGGGGGTGGGAGACAAGCAGTGGCTGAAACTGCCTCTGACATGTGAGGGGGGACAGGACGTGGCCAGGGCTTGGGGAGAACCTCATCCCCTTTCAGTAGGGGCTCTGTAGGGCTGTTTGGGAGGACTCCAGCCTCTCTTGGGTCACCTGAAGGGTTCAAATGTGCAGAGCAGGGCCTTCATGTCTGTCAGAAGCAATTTCTGCCGCTCCTGTCCTCATGGAGATCAGCTTTGCCTTTGGGCAAGGGCGTGGGACTGGATGGTCTGTAAGGTCCCTTCCAACCCAAAACCTCCTGTGATATCTACCCCATATGGGGTTGCTCCCCTCCAGCACCACAGGTGAGGCCAATATCTGGGTATGGGGACCAGTTTGAGGCTTTCCAGTATGATGGGTGGGGCAAAGAGGGTGAGGAGACCAAACTCAAGCCCAGGATTGACGGGGAAAGACTACAGTGATGCAGCCTGGAAAGAAGGAGGATCAAAACGCTGCCAGAGCCCAAGGGGATTAGAGAGAGGGCAGAGCCCATTATCAGATCCCCTCCAGTGCCCCTTATTACACCTTGTTAATTGTTTAATTACCGATTGAGACTGGGAAAAGAGGGTTCCTGGGGCCATAGGCATCCTCACCCTGCTCTTATCTGCTTTCCCAGGCAGGGACCTCTGGGACAAGAGGAGGACTTGATGGACCTTCACCTGGACCCCTGGGTCTCATCTCCCTGTGCAGTGGGTTTTGGAGAGGAACAGAAATGACTTTCCCTTGCCTCAGTTCTCTTAAGCGACTTCCAAAGACAACCTCGCAGGAAATACAAATCCCATAATAAAAGGCACACACACAAGGCAGAAACGGTTTAGAATTGAACTTTTATCTCCTCATCAGGGCAAGTTTGCAGCCACCCTGTAACAGCCATGTAGTGATTAAACAGCGATTGAAAGATCAAAATCGAATTGAAGGCACAGAAATGCTCCCAGTTTGCACAGAAGGAAAATAACCTGAACACCGCTCCCCTTTCCTGTCCCTTTGGTGGGATTGGGACAAAACCCAGCCCCTGGTTTCTTTCCTAAGGGTAATTCGAGGGCTTTGGGGGTTGGGATTTTTTTTGTCCTGTGCCTTAGGGAAGAAGTTTGAGTTGAGCACCCCCAATCACCACAAACCATGGGAAGACTCTCTCCCCTTGGAAAGATGCCCGATTAAAAGCAAAGATCTGTTCTTTGCTCTCGGCATCAAAAAACACCACCCTCCCTTTCTCATAGTCCAAGCAGATTCGTATCCTCTTGGGGACTCTGCGTAGTGTCAAGGGGGTGGCATAAGGAGAGGTCAGAGCCTCGTACCCATCATGGGTATGACGCAGAGCCCATACCCCTTCATCAGGCTTCAGGCACAAACCATGGCCTCTTGGAATTGACTCCTTGACCACCCCGAGGGCCCACGAGCCTTCTCTGTGGACCTCCACGTCCCATCGGTGCCACCCCGATGTGAAGCCCCTTGAGCCCAGAACACAGGGATGAAATTTGAACCTCCCCGGGTTGGAGGGCAGATCCTGCTTATAACGCTCCCACCGCACGAGCTTGCAGTCTTCTGAAAGATATAGACTGGCGTTGGCCGTCTCTGGGTCCAGCGTCATCTGTGCTGGAGGTGGAGAGAGAGTCAGGCTCATGGCAGCAGATTTGGGGGGAAACAGGGCTCTTTCTCTCCCTTCCCGTCCCTCTGACCTGATTGGGACCCCTCCAGGCATCCTCTGGTGGTGGGACCAAGATGTTAGAAGAGGGAAAGGAGGCAGCTGAGGACTTCAGATCAATCTTTGGGGGCAACAGAGCCATTTCATATGATGGCTTAGTTGGGCACACGTTTGGTTCACTTGTCACATGACTCTCAAACTCCAGGAAATCTAGTGGGAAGAGACAAATGGGAGAGGCAGAAAGATCAGTTGGTCTGATTGTGGGTTTCTGCAAAAGTCCTGAGAGTCAGGAACAGGCTTGGGGGAAGGTCGAGAAACTTGAGGAGGCAGAGGAGAAGAGGAGGAGGACAGGCAGGGAACATCAGACCAACGCTCGCTGCTCGTTCTCTGTCTCCTTGTGGGATCTTGAAAGAAATAACCCCTCATTCAGCACCCAGGATGCCTTTCTTTCCCCTGGCTTCACTCCAGCCCTCCCCACCAAGAAGCATGATGACATAGGCCTTTCTGGACCTGCCCTCAGTACCTTGGAATTTCTCCAGAATTTCCTTGATATTTGGGTTCTTCTCGGTGAAACCAGAGAATTTGTTTTCCAGCTCCGGGGAAATCTGGAGTGAGTGGGAGAGCGTTTCCCTCTGGCCCCTGGAAGGGAAGAGGGGATGGATTTACACCTGGTTGGACTTTGCTGCTCCGTGTTTTCTCAGCACTCGCTGCTCCTGCCTCCTGCCAGCCCGGGTCCAAATTCATCATTCATTCAGGAGAGAGAGGCAGAGCCCTCCTTCCAACCCCTCCGGTGGCCTCGGTCAACTCCAAGGGCTGTACTGCAGAAGAGCCAACCCGTCCCCAAGTGCTTTCTCCCCGTGTCCTGCCACAGAGCTACTCTGTGGTGGTGACATGGTGACAGGAGAAGGACCACAGACCTGCTCAAGGTGGTTCCAATGTCCTGGAAGAGAGAGAAGAAGAGACTCAGTGAGATGGAACACCTCCCCTTGGAGTACCGGGGTCCCACTCTAAGGAAGTCCCTCTTGGAGCGGGGGCTGGAGACCAAGCTCAAGGTGGGCCTTCCCAGCCAGTTTGGAAAGCCTGGGCTCTCACCTTCAGGAGCTCCAGGCAGGGACCTCTGGGACAAGAGGAGGACTTGATGGACCTTCACCTGGACCCCTGGGTCTCATCTCCCTGTGCAGTGGGTTTTGGAGAGGAACAGAAATGACTTTCCCTTGCCTCAGTTCTCTTAAGCGACTTCCAAAGACAACCTCGCAGGAAATACAAATCCCATAATAAAAGGCACACACACAAGGCAGAAACGGTTTAGAATTGAACTTTTATCTCCTCATCAGGGCAAGTTTGCAGCCACCCTGTAACAGCCATGTAGTGATTAAACAGCGATTGAAAGATCAAAATCGAATTGAAGGCACAGAAATGCTCCCAGTTTGCACAGAAGGAAAATAACCTGAACACCGCTCCCCTTTCCTGTCCCTTTGGTGGGATTGGGACAAAACCCAGCCCCTGGTTTCTTTCCTAAGGGTAATTCGAGGGCTTTGGGGGTTGGGATTTTTTTTGTCCTGTGCCTTAGGGAAGAAGTTTGAGTTGAGCACCCCCAATCACCACAAACCATGGGAAGACTCTCTCCCCTTGGAAAGATGCCCGATTAAAAGCAAAGATCTGTTCTTTGCTCTCGGCATCAAAAAACACCACCCTCCCTTTCTCATAGTCCAAGCAGATTCGTATCCTCTTGGGGACTCTGCGTAGTGTCAAGGGGGTGGCATAAGGAGAGGTCAGAGCCTCGTACCCATCATGGGTATGACGCAGAGCCCATACCCCTTCATCAGGCTTCAGGCACAAACCATGGCCTCTTGGAATTGACTCCTTGACCACCCCGAGGGCCCACGAGCCTTCTCTGTGGACCTCCACGTCCCATCGGTGCCACCCCGATGTGAAGCCCCTTGAGCCCAGAACACAGGGATGAAATTTGAACCTCCCCGGGTTGGAGGGCAGATCCTGCTTATAACGCTCCCACCGCACGAGCTTGCAGTCTTCTGAAAGATATAGACTGGCGTTGGCCGTCTCTGGGTCCAGCGTCATCTGTGCTGGAGGTGGAGAGAGAGTCAGGCTCATGGCAGCAGATTTGGGGGGAAACAGGGCTCTTTCTCTCCCTTCCCGTCCCTCTGACCTGATTGGGACCCCTCCAGGCATCCTCTGGTGGTGGGACCAAGATGTTAGAAGAGGGAAAGGAGGCAGCTGAGGACTTCAGATCAATCTTTGGGGGCAACAGAGCCATTTCATATGATGGCTTAGTTGGGCACACGTTTGGTTCACTTGTCACATGACTCTCAAACTCCAGGAAATCTAGTGGGAAGAGACAAATGGGAGAGGCAGAAAGATCAGTTGGTCTGATTGTGGGTTTCTGCAAAAGTCCTGAGAGTCAGGAACAGGCTTGGGGGAAGGTCGAGAAACTTGAGGAGGCAGAGGAGAAGAGGAGGAGGACAGGCAGGGAACATCAGACCAACGCTCGCTGCTCGTTCTCTGTCTCCTTGTGGGATCTTGAAAGAAATAACCCCTCATTCAGCACCCAGGATGCCTTTCTTTCCCCTGGCTTCACTCCAGCCCTCCCCACCAAGAAGCATGATGACATAGGCCTTTCTGGACCTGCCCTCAGTACCTTGGAATTTCTCCAGAATTTCCTTGATATTTGGGTTCTTCTCGGTGAAACCAGAGAATTTGTTTTCCAGCTCCGGGGAAATCTGGAGTGAGTGGGAGAGCGTTTCCCTCTGGCCCCTGGAAGGGAAGAGGGGATGGATTTACACCTGGTTGGACTTTGCTGCTCCGTGTTTTCTCAGCACTCGCTGCTCCTGCCTCCTGCCAGCCCGGGTCCAAATTCATCATTCATTCAGGAGAGAGAGGCAGAGCCCTCCTTCCAACCCCTCCGGTGGCCTCGGTCAACTCCAAGGGCTGTACTGCAGAAGAGCCAACCCGTCCCCAAGTGCTTTCTCCCCGTGTCCTGCCACAGAGCTACTCTGTGGTGGTGACATGGTGACAGGAGAAGGACCACAGACCTGCTCAAGGTGGTTCCAATGTCCTGGAAGAGAGAGAAGAAGAGACTCAGTGAGATGGAACACCTCCCCTTGGAGTACCGGGGTCCCACTCTAAGGAAGTCCCTCTTGGAGCGGGGGCTGGAGACCAAGCTCAAGGTGGGCCTTCCCAGCCAGTTTGGAAAGCCTGGGCTCTCACCTTCAGGAGCTGCCAGTCTGGCTGCTGGTACGTCCTCTCCACCTCCCCAATCAGCATGCCCAGCCTCGTCGTCTCCTCCAAAAGCCTCTGGAGGATTTCTTCATGGGCTTTCCTTATCTCTATGTCCAGCTGCTCCAGCTGGGCCAGAAGAGAGGACTCCTCTTGGTCCAGGAACTCATGCATCTTCCTATATGTCCTCACAATCTCCTGCTTTGCAGCTTCTGTCCTCTCCTGCCAAGGGCAAGCCCAAAGGGGGAAAGGGCAGCAGAGAGCAGGAGAAGAGAATCAAGGGTCAAGAGTGGGCCATGCCTCAGTGGGAGCCACCAAGAAGAAGCATTTGGGGAAGATACAAACCCCCTCTCCCTTCCCCACAGCCCTTGAGCATCACCCAAACCTCAGGGGGAGGAGGAGGAGGAGGAGGAGGAGATGTTCCTCCTTTCTTCCCCCACCCTCTGCCCAGGAAAACTGATGGGCACCTACAGTGTGGTCCTTGAGTCTGTCTTGTGTGTCCTTCACGGAAGATTGAAGCGCCTCTTGCTCTGATTTCAGAAGGTGCAGTTGGGTCTCAATTTGTTTCTGAGAGGAGAGAAAGAAAGAAGTCTCCTGTGGAATGGCATGGTGGTCTGGCAGCCTCAGCAGAAGCACCGGGGAACTCCTGGTGGCTCTTGGAATAAGTGTTGGCAGAGTATTGGGACCCCCGTGACTGTTACAAGGCCATTTATCTCCCCCTGTTTTTTCCTTTTTTGCCTTTTTGTATTTTCACAAAGGTCAAGGAGTTTTCAGGGAGCTGTGGGGTGGGAGAAGGGCTTAGGATCTAATTCTGTCCTTTCTTACTGATCTTCAGCAGAGCTGACCTTGAGAAGGGACCCCCACCCCAGAGGACAGAGCCATTGATGCAGTCTTAGAGGGATTGTGGTGGGGAGAAATCTTATGCCTCTGTTTCCTACCCTCCCCTAAGCCCCTGCTCGTGGCTAAACCCTGGGGGAGAGGACCCCTTGGTCCCCAAGAGCGTGGTGCTCCTACGTCCACCTCTTCCTCAGGGCAGGCAATGCCACCTCAAGGATTGGGATCAAGAGACAAGGATGGGTGAGTCCACAGGGGGTTTATTGCACAAGCCAAAGGCTCTACAGAGATCTCTACCCATCAAGAGCACCAACATCAGGAGCTTCCAGTCCTTTGTGCCTCAACATACCCATAACCCCCTCACCTTGCACTCCTG